CACAATATTCTAAAAATACATCTGCTAGGCTGCAGTGCCACAGTTAGTGAAGCTACTGTCCCAGGAAACCCTCATCACCATTTTGCTTAGATCAGAAAGCAGATTAACTTTGATGTCTGTCTGCACCCTGTGCAGGACACCACTGGTGGTCTGCTCCCTGCAAGCATTCAATCTTCACATCCAAGGGAAGAAGGAGAAGGTGCCAGGTAGGAGCCCAAACCAATTTTTTTTTTCAGCGATTGAGATGAAAATATGTACCCCAGGGTTCCCGACATATTTGACTTGCAGCCTGCCTTGAGCTCTCCTTTTCTTCCCGCTCCTCCTTCCCCCACACCCAAACATCCTCTGGCTTTCCCAAATATTAGCACAGCCACGAAGCCCCAAGCCCCTCATCTCTGCCATGTGTTGGAGGTAATTGTTCTGATTTCTGTTTGAGGCTGTTGGTGGCATGAACTGAAACCCATCTTAACTGAAGTTCAAATAAGAGTTCACAGAGCACACATGGGTGACCTGTAGGCCATAATGGACACTTGAGAGTCAGTTTACACCCAGAGAAGTGCGGGGATTACAGGCAAGTGGGACACAGGCAATAATCTCTGAACACTGGCAATGGAAGAAATCTGCTGCAACCACGCTGTCTATCTGTGTGTGACTCATGCTGATCCTTATGGTTCTTATTTCTAGAACAAAAAAGAAAAAAAACTGGAGTAGGCTGGACCATAGCCACTCCCAGGTGACATAGCTCATTGACTCTGCCAGGCAATTTAGATGGGTGGTGAGACGTGGTTACGAGATGGACTTTGGACCCAGACATGTGGATTTGAGTCTTTGCTCTTCCACTTACTGGCCATGTGACTTAGGGCAAGCCATTCTTGGTATGCCCAGCCTCCCCTTCTGAATGTGGGGACAGCTATTCACAGGCATAGTGAGCAGCAAATGAGTAAAGTATGACAGTGACCTCATAGGGCAAGTATTTGCCAAGTCTTGCTATTAGTGCTGTCTTGTTTAGGAGTGCACGGAGACCCTAAACTTAGGGTCTGTGTTAGTTAGCTTTCTGTTACCATGACAAAGTACTTGATTGGTTTTTTTTGTTTGTTTGTTTTTTCTCCGGTACCGGGAACCGAACTCACGACCTTGCGCTTGCCAGGCAGGCGCTTTTGCCGCTGAGCTAAATCCCCAGCCCCCATGACAAAGTACTTGAGATAAACAACTTGGCTCATAGTTGCAGACCATGGTGATTTGGCCAGGTTGCCTTTGGGCCTGTAGCAAGGCAGAGCATCATGGTGGGGACTTGTCACAGGGAAACTGCTTCCCTCATGGTGGCCAGGAAGTGAAGAGAGAAAAAGAAAAAGTCCTAAGATACCCTTCATGGGCATATGCCCAGTGACCTATTTCTTCCAATTATGCCCTGGCTCCTAAATGCCATCATTAGAGAGCCAAGCCTTTAACACAGGAACTTCTAGGGGACATTTCAGAGCCAAACCAGAGTTGGAATGCTTGTGATCCCAGCACCTTGGGAAGCTGAGGCAGGAAGACTGCAAGTTCAAATCCAGCCTGGGCAATTTAGCGACTTAGTGAGTCTCTGTCTCAAAATAATTTTTTTCTGTACTGGGGATTAAACTGAGGACCTTCACATTGAGCTACATCTCTAGACCTTTAAAAAATTGTTATTTATTTATTTTTTTTATGCTGAAAAATTGTTAAATTTTAAGAGGGTCTGAGCAACTTGCTGGGTTCCTCAGGCTGAACTTGATCTTTCAATCCTTCTGTCACATACCCCTCCCAGAGTACTTCGATGATACCCATGAACCACACACCCAGCTAAAAGGAAAGACAAAGGACTGAGGATGTAGCTCAGCACAATGGCTCTGGGTTCAATCCTCAGTACTGAAAAAAAAAAATCCAAACCAAACACAGTCCAACCAAGAATGCGAAGATGAGAAGTCATTCTTCAAAGGACATCAGGAGCTGTTAGGAGGGAGGGGAGGCAGTTATCGAGTCTCATCCTCCCACCAGACTGCAGACACCAGGGAGACCACAGATTCTGCTATTGCATTCACTGCCGCATCCGCCAGCACCTGAGAAGTGTCTGGCAGCCGGGGTCTGGCTCAGTGAACCATAGCTGAATTCTAGAATGTTGAAAGACTCCGCTTTGTGTTCCTAATCAGCAACCACAATGCTTTGCATGGAGGAAGCACACAAAAGTCTGCGCTGATTGAATGGATAGCATAGTGGGGAGGGGGCGGCTGGGCAAGTGCGGTTTCCTCAGAAACATGCGCACCCTGGGATTAAAGAGATAATTGTGTTTGGTGGGACCTGGCGGCAGGCAGGTGATAAGTCACTATTTTCTGGTGTGATAAGATTAATAATCTAGACAAATGGCATAGATGGGCTAATCATTTCTGCTGGAATCTAATGCCTTTAGATCAACTTGCAGGAGACAGAGAAACCATGAGTCACTTGTCAAATTGCCTTGGAGAGGGGATGCCTCATCTGCCACACTGGTTCCAAGCATGCCTTGTACCTCACCAGGATGCCTCACTGTCCTGGCATCTTCCACACTGGCTTGCAGAGGCCTGTGGCAAGGCTTTGACTGCATATCCTGCCAACCTCGCTCATAGAGGGACCGGCAATCCTAAGATATGAACCCTGCACCAAGGCATGCCCCTGAGAAAGCTCAGCTCTCTGGCTTTCAGTGACCATGTCTAGAAAACAGTCACCCTTGCTTTGCAGCTTGTACAGTATGAAGGAAGCAGAATCATGCATAGGTGTTTTATCTGGAACTCTGTTTATACCCGGAGTCCCCCCAAAGTCTCAGGCACTCATAGGTGGGACTTCTGAGATGTGACTGGATTGTGGAAATGTGATAATCATTGGGCAATCAGTCCTTTGAAGAGCTTATAGCTAAATGTGATGTTGGGAGGAGGTGGGTCACTGGGGCTGTGGCCTGGAAGGGTCTCTCTCCCTCCTTTCTCTCTTGGTCACTCTCTGCTTCCTCCCTGCCGGGCCACAAGCAATTAATTCTCCTCTGCCATGCTGCCCTGCCTTGGAACTAGCTGACTATGGACTCGAACCTCTACAGACTGTAAGCCAACATAAACCTTTCCTCCTCTCATTTGTAGGTGTTGGGTATCGTACCTCAGTGATGAAAAAGTAACTAGGACAGACTCTTTCTGCTGTAAAAGTCTGAACCCAGCTCAAACCGGCTTTAGTGAGAGGACAACTTTATTGGCTCATACTGAGCAGTCTAGGGAAGATCTTCCTTCAGGTGTGGCTGGCTCCATCCAATGCAGTATCAAGCTCTCTCTCCCCTCTACTTTACTGACTTTATTTTCAGCCCCCAAGTGGTGCCTCTCCCATACCTCCAGCATCTTATCTCCAACTGCACCTTTCCAGCAGGGCTGAGCTAGACTATGGTCAGCTCAACCTGGGTTATATGGCCAAGAAGATATAACTGCATTAGCCTAAGCCTTGCACTAACCAATCCTCGTGCAAGGGAACTTGGTTGGGCTTACTTATGTGCTTAACTTTGAGAGCTGGGAAGCAGTAGGATAAGGGCAGGGAGCCCCATTTTACCTCATGGAAGAATATACTCCAGCTTACCAAGATTGGGAGGGAGGGCTACAGTTCCCCAAAAGGTATTAACAGGAAAAGGAGAAGTGGGTGCTGAGCTGCTAAAATGATAAATGCACACTGTCCTTGGGGATTTACTATCATGTGATAAAAGCATGTATCACAAGTTCCCTCTGCTGAGAAGTCTTCTCCCCTTAACCATCTATGCTTGCAGGTGCCTGAGGAGTAGCTACCTCACGGCACAGTCATCTGTCTTCCTTCTCTGCACCTGTGCAGCCTACAGGACCATATCACTCATCAGCAACAGGCTGTGGGGGTCACCGGTTATCTCTTCACATATGCTTTCCACGGCAGGATCCTGGCCAGCAGGGGTCACGTCTTATTCATCTTGTGTCCCCCGTAGGGGCATGGCAGATAGTCCATAAATCTGCTGACAGATCGAACAACTGATTTATTCGCTTCTAGAGAAACAGAGGTAGATGGTTATCTTGATTCCACTACAAAACTACAAAGAAAAAAAGAAAGAGGACAACCATGTTTACATCATTTCGGCAAGATTGTACATCTTTTCTGGACTAAATAATGCTGTTAGAGTCAAGATAAATATCCACTCTGCTCCCCAGCTCCAGCTTCTGAAATCATTTCTATTTGTAAGCGTCGGAGAGAAGGCCCAAGGAATCTTGGTCCCAGCTGCCCAACCCCCTGGGCAGGTCGTACTCAGGCACAGCCCACCTGTGAGGAGCAAAGGAGCAGGGGGTGCAAGGTGGCAATTAGATGTCTATCCTCAGGGGCCCCCACGCAGGCAATAAGCCAGTGCCCTGGGGTCTCATTGGTGGGACTAGCCCCCGGCTCTCTCACTTTCCCTGATTCCTGTCCACTTTCTATCCTTATTGGCCTCCCTAACATCCCAGCAGAGGGCACAGGGCGAGAGGAAGGGGTGTTAGTTTGTGTCCAAAAGCTCCTGTGGCCCAAGTTTCAGAAACACCATTCAGGCCATTCCGGACCAGGCGAGTTGTCTTTGGCTCTCATTCGCACAAACTGCCCTCAGAAAGGGCCACGGTCTCATCCGAAGCCACACAGCCAAGCCGTGGTCCGCGCAGCTGTAACCTGAGTCCACTGATCAGAGACCTGCAGCAGAGAGCCACAGAGCGCGGCCAGCTCAGAGAGTCGCTAAATACCAAATTATCGGGGAAGGACCAGAAAGCTTGGCTGGTAAAAGGGCTGGAGGTGGCAACTGGAGCAATGGGCATAGGAACCAGGCCCAGGGCAGGTAAGGGGGCAAAAAAGAACCAACGGGAACCGAGCGAAACAAAAGCACCCCTGTCAGTGGGCCACCTGTTTCGGCGCTCGGTGCTGCCAGGGAGGGAGGAGGGGTAGGCGGTGCGCCGGACCTAGGCCACGCCCACCACGCCTAGTCCCACCCATTTATGGCCCCGCCCCGGCTCCACCCACCTAGCGTGCTCCAGCCCGAGGCCCCGCCTACAGTCCCACCCCTACCTCTAGCCCTGCCCCCAAGGCCCGGAAGCGAAAGCAGCTCCTCCACTTCCGAGTGGGGTCACGGTTCGGCCGCCTGGAGCAAGGTCTCAGCGCGTGCGGTGCCCTCCGCGGGTCAGGGCAGCCCCTCGCCCTGCGCCATGTCCCGGAACCTGCGCACCGCGCTCATTTTCGGCGGCTTCTTCTCCTTGGTCGGCGCCGCCTTCTACCCCATCTACTTCCGGCCCCTAATGAGGCTGGAGGAGTACCGTGAGTGACCTCTAACCCCGCGCGGTGGCCTGAGCCCTGGAACTGTCCCCTGTCGGCCCCCGCCCCCTCAGTCCAGTGGTGCCATGGAAACAGGGCCAGGAGTCAGGCAGAGCCAGGTTCGGATTCCACCGCGTCCGGCTTTGTGATCGCGGACCAGCGGCCCACCCTCGGGCCCTTAGGGCCTCATCGATAAGTACCACTGTCTGCACCGTCAGTAATAACACTGGAGCCCCTCGAGAGGGTCTCAGAGGTGGTGATGTATGATAGCAGTCTGCACATAATGGGTCGACACTAAGTACGAGCTCACATTCATATCTAATATGAGCGCTGATGCTTCAGGTTGGGCATAAGTTGGATCGGTTAATAAACCTCCCCTTTATATAGACATTATAATCCATTTTAGACAGATCGGATAATTTTGCCCAAGGTCACACAGCTAGTAAGTGGCAAGGCAGATATTCCAGCCCAGGGCTTTTGTCTCCAGAGCTTCCAACATCGTAGTGATCTAAGAGCAGTCAGATGAAACCTTGATCATCCTGAGCGAAAGGTGTTTTTATTGCGCTTCATTTCCACTCCCAAAGATGTGTTTGAGCGGAAATATTTCAAACTGAAGCTGTTAACCTGGGTTTTCGGTTTTTCCTCAAATCGTTTATCAGATTCTGCTGGTTTCTTTCATTTGAAGCTGGTTGCTCACATGACAATGGTGAATATCCTGGGAGTAATTTTCCTCCTTAATCATTCAGGTCCTATCATTCTAAAAGCCAAACTCTCCTTCCTTGAGACCTATACTTCAGCAAGGATTAGCACTTTGATACATCTGAAACCATCTGTCAGAGAGAATATATTAGGCATTAGAGGCTCATTTTGTTCTCCAAGAAACCTGAATCATCTTGAAGATGGAAGAAGGCCAACCCTGCCCCTGGAGGATATTAGCTGAGGCTGAAAGCTTGGCGATTTCAAGGCGAAAGCTCCATGTAAATGCTCTGTCCATTTCAAAACCTGCATTTGGCTGCTGGAGCTGGAGCTTTTGAATACACACTTAGATTTCCTTGTAGTTTCTTTTCATCAGCTGAGGCTGGAATGGCTCTGTCCACCCCTCCTTCCAGCCTGTCTGCACTTGGCCGTGCCATGCGTGAGGGCAAAGGTGTGCCATGCGTGAGGGCAAAGGTGGGGCTGTATGAAGTCCAGTGGGGTCTGTTTCCATCCTGTCCCCTTGCTGATCTGTGGCTGTGTTACTGCGGCCTTGGAGTTGAACTTGGAACAAGGATCTGCTTTGGGCCCTGTTAGAAACTGGGCAGTTATGGCGCCCTCGATGTGGTTCTTAGCTGGGAATGGTTTTGTCCCCAGAGGACATTTGGCTCTCTCTGGAGACATTTTTGCTTGTTGCAGGGAGGGGAAAGAAAGGGAGGCAGCTGTGCTGCTGATATCTTCTGGAAGCGCCCATGCCATAGAATTACCTAGCTCCACATGTTGGCTGAGAACCCCATCTGATCAGATGACCCAGGTGTGGGTCTGTGTCATGTGTACCCTACAGTAGTCTCAAAGGGACGCTCCACAATCATTGGTTGTCTTGAGTTGCTGTAGACAGATAAGTCAGGCCTTTGGGGTGAGTGTTTCATGAGTATAACCACAATAGCTGCATTTGAACCTTAAGGCAGTGTACACCTGCTCACTTTTCGAGTTCTATTTTGATTAATTTGGCCAGCTTGTATCTGAAAGTCATAACTGCTTCTTTAGACAGGTAAATAGGGGCTGGGGATTTAGCTCAGCGGCAAAAGCGCCTGCCTGGCAAGTGCAAGGTCGTGAGTTCGGTTCCCGGTACCGGAGAAAAACCAAAAAAAAAAAAAAAAAAAAAAAAAAGACAGGTAAATAATGCTAAACAAGCTCATCTTTATTGAAAGCTGTATCTGGCACTCTTCTAAGCACTTAAAGTACTACATTAAGCCAGTTAGTATCAGTAATGTCTGTAGCTGCTGCATGATCGTCCCCATTTCATATGTGGGCAAACTGCAGTTCAGTAACTTGCAAACAGTCCCACAGTTGATGAGTCACAGGCCTGGGTTTTGAGCTAGTGCCTTCTCTAATTTCTAAACCACAACACACCTTACTGCTCAGCCTGTCTGAGAAAAGGAAATGAGGCAGATAAAGGTCCTCTCAGTGTCTCGGTAGGTGAATGACTTTAAGGTGAGTTCCTTACTCCTCAGAACCCAACCTGTTTCCTCATTGTTATTGGAGTTATCCCTTTAGGTTTGGGATAAATTAAAGGAGGCAGTGGTTGTGGAAGCTCCCACTATCGTCTTTTATAGGCATTCCTTAAAAACACTTGACAAATAAGGAGCCACAAGGGCAGGGATGTGAGAGGAGAGATTCAGGCAGTGCACTGATTGAGGGCTGCAGGCCTGGCACTAAGCTGGAGTCCATATTCAGGCCAGGGGACCCCACTCTGTGGAAGGAGCTTCAGTTTATTTCAACTAGCATTTATTTAGCTGCCTTTTAAACATCTGTTTAGCAGTCACTCTGGACCTGAGTCTGTTAGGTGCCAGGTGTACCTGGCCAAGCAAGAGGGTCAGAGGTCTCTCCACCACAGCCCTGTCCTGATTGAGTGTGTCTCCCGAGTTATTTAGTCCTGCCTATGTTTACCACCCCCCAAATCAGTTGGAATCGCCACTGTTTATATAGTCTCTGATGATTTATCTTTTTCACTTTCCTCTCCCTCCCTCCCCACCTTTCCTTCCTCCTTTCCTTCCCTCTCTTCCCTCCCTTCCTTCCTTCATTCCTTCCTTCCCTTCTCCTCCCTCCATCTTTTGCAGTACTGGGGCTTGAACCCATGAACTTTGCACTTTTGTATTGAGACAGAGTCTTGCTCTGTTGCCCAAGCTAGGTTCAAACTTGAGATCCTTTGCCTCAGTCTCCCAGAGTGCCGGGATTGCAGCTGTGCACCAACTCACACAGCTTTTACACACATTCTTACCCGTGTTTCTTGCGTCTCACCTCCTTTCTGATTTCAGTTTTCTTCCTGAAATACGTCTGTTAATGTTTCTTTGGTGAGAATTTTTAACTGGGAAACTGTTTTGATTTGTTAGGAGGTGTGCCCCCCTCCCCCCTCTTTGGCTGTGGCTGTTGTAAAGCCTGTTGTCCCTCCATTTATTGTTCTGATCTGATCATCTTGCTTGCATTATTGACACACACCAGCAAGTCCCTGCTCTTCTCGAAGTGCAGCCAGTGGAGAATTACTGAAGTGTGTTCACAGGGAGAGCAGGGTGATGAGATTTGCTCTGCGAAGGCGGGCGTGCTGGAAGTGTCTCGCTCCCAGGCCAGCCAGGGTCAGGACGGCTCTATTTTCTTGGACCTCGGGGAGAGAGAACTGGCCTAAACTAGAGTGGCGCTTGTGGGTCTTGGGAGGGGGGACTGCGCTGGGAGACCAGGTGAACTCTGCAGGGATTTGAGACTGAGGCGCCCTGGTGGCAAGGAAGGGAGAGGAGGAGAGAGGGCACCCAGCTTCTTGGCTCCAGCAGCTGGGGAGATGGGGTGCTCCTCACTATTAGGAAACATGGGAGGTGTGGGTTTGGGGCGAGAGGACGAGTCAGTTCGCATCTGGACAGCTGGAGGTTTGCGTGGGAACTTCCCAGAAGCGGTGGGATCAGCAGGCTGGAGCTGAGATGCAGACTCAGTGCAGTAGGTCCGGGTGCCCAGGCAGTGCCCAGAGCTGGGAAGGGACAGGTGGACACACAGGCGCCCCATAGACAGAGGGCCCTTCCCTAGTGGGAAGGTCTGACGACGGGGGACCAAAGAGGCCTGGTCCTGAGCCCACTGGACAGGGGTGCTGGGGATGGTAAGGACGATAAGCAAAACCACCCATTGGAGTTAGTAAAAGGAAGGTAAAAAATATCATTTATTTTGTTAATGCTTTCTGTGGTTTGGAAGTGAGCAAAAAGTGAACTATAGCCGCTTAAAGAGTAAATGGACAGCCCATTCAGTTGACGATTTAAGATGTTGGAGCTGTTGGAGGGGAACAGCACGGCAGTTTTTGCAGCGGGTCAGGGGCCCTGGGGAGAACATGCTCTACTCCTAGCATGGCTGGGAGAGCCAGGAGTGTCAGGATGACAGGCGCTGGAGCGGTGACAGCCTGTGGAGGGGAGGCAGCAGGGGCCTCTGGCACAGGGCAAGGAAGACCTTGGGCCCAGGGCAGGGCGCTTCTCCTGCCTCAGGGTGATCACAGCAGGAGGAAGGTTTGAAGTTGGCAGGTTGTGGTGCTTTAGGCAATTGCACTCAGATCAGACCCCCGACACACTCTCCCACCCGGCCTCCCCATCTGCTCTCCTGCCTCGCTCTTTTGCTCTTGCCCTTCAGCTGCTCTTCCTGAGCGTCTCTTGTAGCTCCCCGCTCTGACTGTCCCATAGTCCCTGGGCTTTGGGCCTCCTTTTCTTGGAAGGCCAGGGCAGAAAGGCCGGTCCCTGAGAAGTGGAGGCTAGGCTAGGAGAAGCAAGCTGTGGAGCCAGGTGCTGGCAAGGAAGGAGGCAGGCCATGTAGGGCACCTTTGGGTCCTTTGGCTGGGCCGCCAGCCTGCGTGCAGGGAGTTTGGGGACAGGTAGGTCTCAAGCTGTCTGCTGCAGTTAAGCCTCTGGGCAGCAGAAAAGAAGAGACTCTTGGGGTAAAGCAGAGGCAAGGAGGTCTCCTGTGATTGCTAAGCAGGGCTGCCATCACAGGCTACCTCATCAGACCTCACTTGCACATTCTGTGTAATCTGTAGCTCTTTGAGTGACTTGGCAGAGCTTCACCAGTGTGGCTTTGGAATGCCAGGGCGGTGCCATATGTGAAAGCTTGGACACTGCAGTGAGAGCGAGGCCGGGGCCGTGGGCCTTGTTTTCGGCAAGCAAGGCTTTAGGTATGGGTTTGTGGTGCTTCTGGAGGGAGCCTCAGGCATTGCTTTGCGTTGTCGTCCCACCACACAGCATGGCTTGTCTGAAGAGGGCACTGCCAGGGAGGAGTACAGATGGCTGTAACTAGGAGCCTGATTTGTCTTTGTAGCCTAGAACCACATGGTGATCCTGAGTACAGCTTTTTTCAAATAACTTGAGTTTTAGCCATCAAGGAGGAAATGGTGAAATGAAACAAAGTAATAGCTCATTTTTGTAACCTTGTTCATGTTTACTTTTAATTAGATGTGCAGGAGCATAAAATTCTAGGGTCTTGCCAGGCGGGTTTTGATCTCACTCATTGTCCTCCTGGAGGTGACTTGTGCAAGCTCATCCAGCCCAATAATTGTGGGCTGAGCACCAGCCCCACCACCCGCTGACCTTGTCCTCCCAATGCTGTGAAGACGGTAAAGAACGTGTAAGAGTCAGCAAAGTGACAGGGAACCCAGGAATGCTAGGAGGAGACTCCTTTCTACTGCTCGGTCATGCTCTTGTGCCACCAGCCAAAAATATGTCGTACACTCAGCACAGCAAGGTTACACGAAATCATCCAATGTGGAAGTAATTCTTACCTTGTAAGGCATTTTCCCTATTACATGCTCAGTGCTTAGAATATGCTCTTCATCCTGTGTACCGTAAAATGGAATGAAATGTACAGGCTCGAGTCTTGTTTTCTGACTGGCGTTCCAAAGCTGCCTGCGTTCACCCAGCTGCTCTGATGAGAAACCGGTCCTGATTACCACACGAGGAGGAGCCAGTGATTTGAGAGGCCGTTTGGTCCCCTGCAGTGAGCTTCTTCACTGGGTCTGCTGGGGCGTGTGGCTTGTCCTCAAGCTCTGGCTCACATTTGCTGGGGTGGCTGTTCGAGTCCCCTCTGCTTTTGTTTATGTTTGCTGGTTTAGTGTTACAATTTCTGCTCAACCTCTGGGCACATGTGCTGTTAGAGTCTTTTGGTTCCCTTGGTCACCTGGTTCACAGTGGCCGTTACGGCTGTTTGGGTCCTTTCGGCCTCGGCTCACACTTCTGGTGTGGTTTCCACTTGGCCTCTGGTTCATATCTGCTGCGATGGCCATTTGGGTCCCCTCTGCCAGCTGGTTCACACCTGCTGTCCCAGCCCTTTGTCCCCTCAGCCAGCTGGTTCACTTCGTGTAGTCCCCCTCAGCCCCTGGCTCACACCTGCTGTCGTGGCCCTGTGGGTCACGCTTTCCACCAGTGCCGCCTACTTCAGGATTCCCCTGTAGGCAAACAAAGGTCCAACCAAGAGCAGCAAAATGAGAGCAGATTCTTTTCTAAAAATTTGTATTTGCTGTCATAAAAAAGATAGATATTGTGAAGCAATCATAGAACAGTCACACTGTTAGACTTTCTTATGTGTATGTTTAGCTGTTGCTTTTTTTTTTTTTTTTTCCTGTACCGGGGATCAAACTCACGACCTTGCACTTGCCAGGCAGGTGCTGTGCCGCTGAGCTAAATCCCCAGTGCTGCTTATTTTTTTATATAGAAAAATACAAACTGACAGAGAAGATCCAAGAATGGTATAATAAATTCCTGTATATCCTTCCCCTAGATTTACCAGTTGTTAACATTCTCCACGTTTGCCTTCTCACCCATAAATGGTACAGATGCCTGCGTACATAAGGAATTACACTTACACACGTAAGTCGAAAACAGGGTGCTTTCATTCCTAAATTTCCCAGGAACAGGGCATTCTCTTACATAATTATTACACAGTCACCCAGTCTAGGAAATTTAACACCGATACAATGCTATTATCTAATACACAGCCTGTTCACATTTTGCCATTCGTCCCAGTTCCATCGAGATGTGAGCTGCTTTCATTTCAGCAGGAGAAGGTGGGGGAGGCGGATTCCTGCACAGGTTTTATCTGCTTGTATACTTTGGGTTTCTACCTGCTGCTCCTCTCAAGAGCAGCCTTGACAAAGTTATGAGTTTGCTGAGAGGGACAGAGATAGCATTTGTTTGTGGTTCTCTTTGTTACGGTAAAAAGGCACTCACTGGATTTATTTCCTTATACGGACATTTACTTTAAGGATATATTTTCATTTCAAAGACTTAAAAATTACGAAGTCTCTTTTACTTCCCTACGAGAATCAGTCCTGCATGCTTTAATAATATACCTTGGCCCTCTGACTAGAGATAATGACTCTCAATTAAAGCCACAAATCAGACCACTGCCTTAGCACCAGGGGGCAGAGTTGGGCTTGCTGAGACACTGGAGTGGAGAATTGTGAGGCACTCTAACCCAGAGTGCCACGGTTGGGTTTTAATCATGTCGCTCCTGATGGAAATATGCTCACAACTGAAGTCCGTAATTAGCTTCTGCGTTCTCGTAGTTAACCCTCTGGCTGTGCCATTGCCTTTCCCATGTGGTTTATGTACATTTGCTGTTTCTCCGGTGACAGCAAAATACTGCGGAAACCTGTCAGCCTCATCAAGCTGTACTCACTAAATCCTGAGAGAGCACTTTCTGTTTTCCTTTCAGCGTGTTCTGCATTCACAAATAAAGTGTCATTGTGTGGTACCGTGAATTTACATACAACTGCTTTGGCCTGAGAGTGTTTGTAAAACATTAATGGATTAAAAAACCAGCGGTGTAGATAGGCTGCTAATACCTGGTTATCACTCAGCAGGAACTGGTTCAAGTTGCCTGTCCGAGCCACACTGTAGATAGAGGTGGTTGCATGAGGATGAGGATTATAAAGAGATTATGGTCTATTTGAGACAAATCCCCAGACTCTCTCCACCTCATTAGCAATTAGCAAGAAAGTGTGAAGACGGATCCTTTTCTTGCCCTGGGTTCTCCGCTGCATCATAAGAGGTTAGAACACAATTAGACATTCTGTGTCTGCACCGAAGTCAGCTTCCGCCAGCGCTTGGCAGCCTGCCGGCGCCTTGGCTTTGCACTACCTGCCTCTCAAAGAATGTGTTCTGTACACTAGGGTGACTGATTTTCCTAAACCCACATGTCTTAGAAATGCTTTCTGACAATTAGTTTTCAAAACTCATCTCTTCCTACTTTCACAATATCAGAATAGACTTTTCAGGTCTGGAGAAATACATCTATGTTGGCTCCTGGCAAGACTGAGAGTGGTCTTTTACCAGTTGGCATTTTCCAAGTGTGTTGGACACATGTGTACATTGAGACCTACGTATGGGCAGCATGGTAGGGCTTACTCCTACCAGAACTTCGCGTCGCGGGAAATGGGAACTCGTTCTGTGTTGAGCTCTGTTGGAAAGTGTAACCCCCTAGAGGCTGCACATTGTGTCCCAGATTTGGAAGAAGTCTGTTGGCGTTCAGTATCTGCGTACAGAGGATCTTGGTTGCAGTTCACCTGCTGCAATCGTAGAGGCGCTGTGAAATCTTCCTGCCTCTGTCTAAGATTGGCCTCACTATGTTGTGTCTTGTCCTGGCCCCTCCCTCTTAGGATTGGCTATCAGGATTCCCATAATTTCCATGCCCCTTGTTTTATTTACTAAGCAAAATTTAGCAACGATGAAACTATCAAGTAGGTCATTTTGGGTTGACGTCCTGACCCGTTGCTAGAGAAACAAGTGCAGTGAATGTTAGAGGTAGCAAAATGCTGTGTCTTGTACCTGTAGGCCTGTGTAACTTTATGAGAATTCAGAGGCCACAGTAAATGGCCTAATATTAAACAAGAGCTACATGTGGATTTAAAGAAATGTTGTCAGTCTGATTAAAACAAAGATCTGATTACAACCTTTAATTACTCTAGTAGCAAATATCCTTGGGCTCTAAGTCTTTCTTCTAAAAAGGGCCATTTATTTGTCAAGAGACTTTAACAAGTCTTTGTTGCCACAGACCTGGCTTTATTCTCAGCCTCTTAGAAAGATGTGTCAAAGTGCTTGAAGCCTAGTCGTAAAATGCCCAGTTTCTCTTGGCCTGCCCTGTTGGACATCTCCAAAGAGCCTGGCGTAGCCTCTGGCGCTGCGGCACGCTTGCTAATTGGCAGGGCACCTGCAGACAATTAGGGAAGCTTCAATTATCCAAACCAAAGCCACCCACCCAAAGATTAATTTTCTGCTCTATTTCCTATCAAAAACATAGCATCTTTAGCTCTGAGTCTAGCCCTTCAGTGGAGTGCATTTGAGACATATGAACTACGTCATTTTCTTGCTAATTGTGCTTGTTTCTCCATGTCAGCAGCCTTCCGCTCATAATATCGTGCCCACCAGTTCTTTCAAAATTGTTGTTTTTCTGTTGTTTTGTTGCCTTTCCAAAATGCTGAGATCACAGGAAAAAGATGTTAGTTGGGAGCTTTTCTTTTGAAGTGTGGTTTTCTTTCTTTTCCTGAATATACCCAATCTTTTTGCATTATAGGATCTAACTTCCACAAACTAAAAGCTTTGAGTAACGGCCTCGCTGAATTTAAAACACTCATAAATACTGTTCCTAACCGTCCCATGTCACTGGCCCGTATAACTGCAAAGATTGCACCCTCCTCCATTTTAAAGAGTAATTGTTCTGTTGTGTTTCTCAGAGAAGGAACAAGCCATAAATCGGGCTGGGATTGTTCAAGAAGATGTGCAGCCACCAGGTAAACTTAAAAAAAAAAATCAGAGCAGAATCTCATTTGTACTGTTGGGTGATTTGTATGTGTTTGCGTTGCTGTGGAGAGAGGGAGAATGCTTTTTAGCTTTTTTTGCTACTTATTTTGCAGTCGTGCCATTTTATAGGCGCCATCGAAGACTTGATTTTCATCTGCGCAGTACTTTTTGCAGGTTTGCTGGATTCCTCTGCAACACCTGATAAGTGGGCATAAAAATGTAACTGGCGTGCTATTAGCTACGAAGTGTGAATAGCTGTTTCACAGACTTATTTACCAAGCACCTATTTAAACCCTACCCTCGTGGGAAAATAGTATTTACTTGTAAGCTGTTTTAATTGATGTGAGATTCAGCTTTATACAAAAACTCCCTTGATGGATGAATGGGTGGTTCCTTTAAGATGATCCAAATTGGCCTGGAATGAGAGATTTCCAACTTACTAACCAAAACTCTTGTAATCTGTGGCAACATTCTTCTCTATTTATTTTCTTCCTAGGCCAGATACATATCGTCTTGTGATGGGGCAGTTTCTGAGCCATTTAAAAGCCCCTCAGCTGCTGTTGCTTCCGAGCCCTTTCTCCATGGGTTCCACAGCCGGCTCCGGCTTCTTAGCTGCACGGAAATTGCACAACTCAATTCCAGTGTCATTTTGTTTGCTTGGAGTTAGGGGGAGCACCAGGGTGTTTCAAAATGAATCCTGTTTTATTCATGTTTCTTCCCATAGGGTTAAAAGTGTGGTCGGATCCATTTGGCAGGAAATGAGAAGGCTGTCACCAGCTCTGATTACAAAAGTAGACATCTTCATGCTTTTGAGTCGGCTTCGAACACAATAAATCACTTCACTATGGAAGGGCGGCTGGAGAAGAAAACCCTGTAATGCCGTCAATAAGAGTGCTTGTCATAAAAGACTGCGTACTAGGATTAATATTTCCCTTCTTAAATATCAAAAGAACCCTGGAACACATTAGGAAGGTTTGCATGATTTGGTTGACTTTCCAAAAATGAAGCTATTTTGGTGGGGCTGTTCACCCAAGATGTGTTTATTATTCAGTCTTTATCACCACTGAACTGTGATAGGAATACAAGCAACCCTTGGGCTTGAGGAGGTGCATGCCCCCTCTGCCACCTTTCAAACAGCAGATTTCAGAAGAAGAACCACCCTGCTGAGCTGCCTTGAAGGGCTCTTTGAAAATATTCAAGCTGATAAAGCTCTTTGAGGACAAGGTACTTGTGCTATTTAAGAATAAACAGTTCAGCCTGCACCATCTCTGTTGAAGATTGCTCCATGCTGGAAAAGAAACAAATATAAAGCAGGTCAAACCGCATGGGTGCGTGGGCATAGTACAAATCAGGGGTGAATCAACAGAAGTGAAAAATATGTCTATTAAAATGGTTTGTTTTTATTTTACAACAGTGTATTTTTTTTTGTAAGTCGTTTTTGTTAAGGTAAGTAGATTATAGCATCAAGAAGTACAGTCGCACTAGATTATATTTGACTGTTATTTGTGTAGTATACATCTGTTTGTGTATAAGTAAACATCTTAAAGGTAAATGGTTGAGATAAATGCTTATTGAATGCCAGTTCTCTACAGGTACCTTACCAGGTACTACAAAGGTGTGAGTGGGAATTCTTTTTCTTCTTTCTTTACTCCTTCCATTCTTCCTTCCTCCCCTCCCTTTTTCTTCCTTTCTTTGTTCTTTCTTTTTCTTTCTTTCTTTCTTTCTTTCTTTCTTTCTTTCTTTCTTTCTTTCTTTCTTTCTTTCTTTTCTTTCTCTCTCTCTCTCTCTGTCCTTCTCTCTCCCTCTCCCTCTCCCTCTCCCTCCCTCTCTTTCTTTCTTCCTTCCCTCCCTCCCTCCCCTTCCTTCTGTCCTCTCTTCTAACTTTCTTTCCTATGCCATTCTGTCCTGTTCTATGCCTGGCCCACCTCCTTACCAGTATGTGCTTCTCAAGAAATACCTTCTCTATTTTATAGCAGAATGCTACACATATTACTCTCCTTAGATGAGCTGCTTGATGACATACAGTAATTTTATTATTGGGAGCTTAGCATTTTCTTAATATACAACTGGCCCAATTATGTCATTACTGTCAAAAAGAAGTAAGATTGATAGTTCCGAAACTAAAGTCATCATTTTTGGCAAGCATTCCCTAACATTTAATTGACTTACATTTAACAACCCAGTAGAGGAAGTTGACTAATTAGGGGTGCATTTGCCCACTGTTTTCCTTGGAGGGGGCACCCAGAAGTTATGTAAGTTAAAATCAGACTTCTACAGATGTTTAATTGAGCTGTCTTTATGAGTGAGGCAAGTGTGTGGCACCATCTGCTTTGGAAGATGTCCACACTAAAATGACTGTGTGTGAGTGTCTAAGTCCTGCGGGCCCTTGGTTGACTGTCTTTGAGCAAACAGGATCAGATCGACCTCCAGAGTGGAGCCTTTGACCTGGGCCCACCTCTGTGCAGAGATAAAGGGGCTGTCTTTCCTGCTCATTGCCATCATGTTTGTAACAGGATAATGCTCATGTTGTTAGACAGGGTAACTTAAGACTGCTGTCCACAGTTGACAGAAGTGAGTGGCAAGAGGTGCTGTTCCTGGGGGTGGACTCAGCCTCGCCAGTCATTGTGAGTCCCTGTGTGAGCCCTAGGATAACAGAAGCTCTCGAAAGGGGATCTTAGTCAGGTTCCTCAGGAAACAGAGTTAGAATGTTGGTTATGTTTATTGGCTTCTAATTTGGTGATTTCCAGGATGGACACAACATTTCCCAAGTGTGTCGATCATGGAGCATTTTCCACAGTTGAGTTGGTGACCAGCAGCGTCTTTTAGGGGAGCTCTTTTAGACCAGTGGTTCTTAAACTTCTTGGTCGCAAGATACCTTTATACTCTGAAAAATTTCCAAGAACTCCACAGTGATTCTGTTTAAATAGGTTGTTATATTGATAGATACTTACTGTATTAGAAATTTAAACAAACTAAAAAGATTGCATCCTTTACAAATATCAATAATCCATATGAGTTAATAGTGCATATTTTTATGTGAAAAATGTGTCAAGACAAGAAATAATTTGCAAACCTCTTTAACGCCTGACAAAAAAAATAGCTAAATTCTCCCATCTGCTCTGCATTTAGTCTGTTGCAATACCTCTACATGGCTCCTGGAAAACAATCTACATACTCGTAAGTGGCCAAAATAGTATTATAAAAATAGTTTTGACCACACAGGCCCCAGAAAATGTTCCAGAGACTCTTAGAGATTGCTGGACCATACTTTGTCCAGTTTCGACCCCTTTTGGATTTAGCCAGGCCTTTCAGGAATTACGAATCACGTGGCTGGATTCCATTAACAGAGTTGCGTTCAGTGAACCGCGTTGTAGCGCGTCCCTATGGAAGGGAGTTATAAGGAGAGGGGAGAAACTGACAACAGTTCTTACTGTTATTGAAAAAAAGTTTTCATTCTTCATTTTCGATGCCGAACAGTATCTTCTTGAGGGAGACTGAGATTGACATTTTAAAATTCCAGAAATACCAACATTGCTGAACAGTTGATACTTCTGTCCTGTCAACATCGCATTGTGCATTAGCTGACAGGAGCTCAACGACTCAACAAACACATTTGTGATCTAGCTTTTTAAAAAGTGCCTATGGCCTTGTGGAATATTGAGGGCGTTTTTGTTCATTTCATCTTTTTCTTTCTTTGTCCTTATTTTCCTTCCTTTTTTCTCATTTTAGTTTTCCCTCTTATATGTTAGATCCCTTGTTTTTACATGAAGCAGGGCATAACACATAGTCAGTTGAAAAAACCTCTATTGGGGGGAGATGAAATAAATTCACAAACAAAATTAAAATAATATGGACGAGTAATAGAACCTTTAAAGAAGTCAAGTACTGCTCACCCGGACAGATGCAAACCCCTGTGCCCCTCCACTGTGGGCCTTAGCTGTTCTGGACTTGGCTTACCTTCCCACCTGGCACTCTTTCTCCTGCTGGGTGGAAGGACACTTGAGGGATGAATTACTGAGGGAAGGGAATGGTGCCCACCCCAAAATGACAAGCTGCTGGGTTTTCGCTCACTGTAGGAGACATGAGGAAATTTAAGCAAGAAGCTCCCTGAAAACTTGAAAACAAAGCTAGAGGGCTTTCCCTACAGCAGGTGTAATCATAAGTGGCCAGACTAGTGTAGGCTGTCTCCTGTCCCCGGTGAGGTCCGTACAGCAGCCAAAAACATTTAGAAACTTTCTAATCTGATAAAAACCAGGGCTTGCATTTTGCATGTGTTTTTAAAATTCCAAGGATGGTTACATTTTGTTATAGTGGTCTGTGATACACCGGCATTTAGGAATAAACATGGACTTGCTTTTGGCCTAAGAGATGGGTCGAGAGGCACATAGCTCAGGGCAGGATTGGAGAGGGTGATTCTCAGGGAAGCCACTCTGGAAGAGCTCCCTGTCACAGGAATGCTGGGTTCTGAAGCCTCAGCAGATGCCCTGGGCAGGGCTCCATGGATGGGACAGCACATTCACTTGCTCTAGGATTTGGTTGGCTTCACACCTGCTAAGGGCAGCAAGCCCTTCTACAGCTGATGCTGCCTGCTGGCAACACTGCCTGCAACTCATTAGCATCCCCTGTGCGTGGGGAAAACAGACAGCACCTGGATAGGCTGCTGTGCACATGTGCTGATGGGCCTGCAGGGCCCTTTGCCTTGGCCTCTTTTGCTCTGTCCCTAGAGCAGGGGATCTTGGCCAGAAACTCAGCCTCTTCCATTTAGGCTCAGCTACCAGGACCCTTCCCTGTTAGGGAGGAATGAGAACTCACCTCCTGCAACAGACTTGGGGACCCTTCATGTGGAGAAATACTCTGCTTCAAAGCTCAGGGGATCTAAGGATACCTGAGGGTGTGACCTCACTGTCTAGCACAAGCACATGGTGGGATAGTTACATAACCACAACTTAGCACAGGTAAACACACATGCATTGGTTATGGCACTATACAAGAATGTAAATATGTGACAACAACCTGTATAAGAATTATACAATAAAGACGCAGGCCCCTCTTACACTCTTCTGCTCTTTCACTCTTGCACTCTGCTCTGTGCTGCTTGCTGTTGTTGCTGATGTCTTGCATGAGTGTGTTCTTTAACCTAGGGATCTCACCCATGAAGTTCTCCCTTGGGCCCCTGACCAGGCTGACAAAGTCATAGTTGGCAGGACATCAACGTGGGTGGTCCTGTGATGGCTTTGGAAACAGCACCTGAAGGCTAGAGAGAGCCCCGGGGGAATGGCTGACAAGCAACCACCCCCCACCTTGCCATGGCTACCTGTAGCCACCTTGGAAAGCCGTGGAGGACTGGGAAACTATTTGGGCCCCAGGGACATCTTAGAAGCAATAGACAGAAAATTCCTCCCCTTTAGTGTGAAACAATGGGGTGGGTAGCTTGACTGTTCTTTAGTCTTCTGCCTTATAAATCAAGAGGTGGATGGCTTTGTCTGGCAAGTAGACCAGCTAACAGCAGATAGAGGAAAACCTTGAGCAATGGCTGGCTGTTGTAGAGCTCATGTTTTGAGAAGTGGGAAGCACTGCCTCCTCCAGAAATGTCTCCAGCACTGTACATCCTCATGTCTGAGAAAAAAACCCCAGGAAAATCCCCTTATTTTGCGTGCTAGGCCAACTATTCATCAAAAGGTAGAGGTCAAGGAACCCCTATCCCAGGGAGGAGTACCAGAAGGGCCACCTACCTCTACCTGGCACATAATATACACAACCCGTCTGGCCTTGGAGATGCAGGAGCTGGCAAAACAAAGCAAAAGGCAGGTTCTATGGCTGTGTGATGATAGAGCTGATAACATACAGTTAAGCCCACAGGAGATGTCTCAAATAGCCAGTGCCCCCTCTGTGAGACAGGTTCTGCAGGATCTGTAGAGAACCGCCCCCGAAGCAGGTAATCAGACTGTGATAAATTGGTTAATGGCAGTGACTCCCCTGGTTTAGGAGAATCCAGGTGACCTGCTAGAGCAAGTCACTGTCTAGACTTGATAACGGTGCTATGTGAAATGGGCGTGTGGCAAATGTTCACACTGCAGTATCGTAACCTAGATGAGGAACTGCTGACGACTCACATGAATGACATGGTCCTGGCCAGCAGGCCAACTGGCATGTTTGGGTCAGTGGCAGCCCTTCTAGCCCCCTTTACAGATCACTCGATTCGTGATGCTCAGGGATGCCTTGGCCAGGCTGGGAGATGTGGGAGTGAAATGCCAAGGTAAGGTGAGATCTGTTAAAAACTACCAATAAAGGAAAAAAGCAGGACCCAGGTGAATGGGGTCATACTCCCAATGACAAGTTATGGGGCCATTGAAGGTTGGTTAGTGCCAGATCTGGCTCTCAGCCTAGCTGCAGGTAAGTTAAACAAGC